TGATCAACATCATGCTGAAAACCCTCCAGTTGATGGAAAGAAGGGCGAGGAGCTACCTGAGAGGACGGAGGCTGAAAACAGGACCCCTCCTCTAGAGCAGTGGTTCCCAAACTTTTTATCTTCTGACCCACAAAATATTCATTAAAAAAACTTGTGACCCCAAAATATTACTAGTCTGAGTACACAAACGTTGTTAATAACCCTAAAAACAAAGGCCACACAAATACTTATTTATACTTATTTTGTGTTTTTGTAATAATTTTAGGGAAAATATCACATCACCAATTATTTTATTACCCTTTAAATTGATTTCTGAAGTGAAGTGGTTCCCAAACTTTTCAGCTTTTGACCCACAAAATAACAGCAGCAGAGACCTGAGCCCACAACTATTTTTGGATGATAAACATTTGTGTCAGGTCAACCAAACATGGGCATGGTAACAATATTTATTATTCACATTTATACATTTTAGGCAACTAAGGCAAAAATGTAATTAATTTAGAAAATCTTTTCAGGACCCCACCTTGATGTTTCAGGACCCCAACTTTGGGTCACGACCCCAACTTTGGGAAACACTGCTCTAGAGCCTGATAAAAGCAGTGGAATGGCGCACCTGGAAGTTTCTGAGACTGGGACCCCAAACAGGACCATTAGTGTCAATCTGTGGATCTGCTGGACAAACCTGTGCACCAGATTATTTTCTTTGTGCCTTACATATAAGTCATGTAATTGCATGTATACTATATATATAAACAAACTGAAATGGAAAGATCATAGCCACTATTTAGTTATTCTCAGTTTTCACAGGATTACTGAGAGAAAAGAAGAATGAAGATAAAATCTGTAACAAACCTTCATTTCATTTGACTGAATGGACGACGACTAAAGGAACCGTTTTAAAGAATGACCCATTTTAGAGAGATTTCTGACTGTTTAACCTGAGATAATCCCATGAAGTGTCTCACAGCTTGGGTTTTAATGCTTTTATTACATCTTAATCATTGTATCCTCTGTCTGAGTGTGTGAGTTTTATTATTGTTTTTAAATCCATAATCATGTCCTTTCAAGAACTGTGATACAACAGTCTTTGTTTCTTGGCTAAAAGTAAATCATAACCTTGCAGCATTTAGACAATCAGGAACTCAGATGATGGGTTCTGCTCAGTGATGGTGTGTTTCCACAGGAGCTCCTCTGACTGCTGCACACTGGCTCATCTGCATGAAAATGACTCACAAACTCGCCTGTTAAAACTGTAAAAACAAGGAATGTAAAGCGTTTAAAATGTTTATAAATGTTTTAAGTACCAGTGTTGTGCAAAGGCCCGAGTATTTTGTATTCAAGTTTTTTTTATGAATATGTTATTATACCTTTAATTTGTAGAATCACAGCAGGAGGAATTGCCTTTAATACTCTGTTGTATTGAGTTTTAGTACATGTTAACATGTATATTTCCAATAAAAACTTCATATGATAAAAGTTTCCATCTTTTTCCTTGAGATGTACAATAGACTAAATACCCTTCTCCCACCAATCTTTAAAAAGAATGATTCTTGTTTTTCACCAATATTAAAAATCTTATGAGGAAAATTATGCCAGAAACTTTCATATTTTTTTAAGAAACTCTAACGATTCAAGTTTGATGGTACTGTTCACAGGATCAAAATCACATTTAAACCTCCTTCCTCTAAGGATTTAACCATGTCGGCTCTCCTGATGTAATGGCATAAAGTTAAAGTCTTGATTTATTTTTTTTAATTGTTTTGTCAGACATACAATCACCGGACACTTTATTAGGTCCACCTGTTCAACAGCTCATTGATGCAAATGTTGAATCAGTCAATCACATTACAGCAACTCAACTCATGTAGGCATGTAGTCATGTTCAAGATGATCTCCTTCAGTTCAAACTGAGCATCAAAATGGGGAAGAAAGGTGATTTAAGTGCCTTTGAACTTGGCATGTTTGTTGGTGCCAGACGGGCTGGATTTAGTTTTTCAGAAACTGCTGATCTACTGGGATTTTCACSCACAACCATCTCTAGGGTTTACAGACAATGGTCCAAAAAAGAAAAAAATATCCAGTGAGCGGCAGGTCTGTGGGAGCAAAAGCCTTGTTGATGCCAGAGGTCAGAGGAGAATGGGCAGACTGGTTGGAGCTGATAGAACAGCAACAGTAACTCAAATAAACACTCGTTACAACCGAGGTCTGCAGAAGATCATCTCTGAATGAAAACATGTCAAACTTGAGGAGGATGGGCTACAGCAGCAGAAGACCACACCGGGTGCCATTCCTTTCAGCTAAGAACAGGAAACTGAGGCTACAGTTCACACAGGCTCACCAAAACTGGACAAGAGAAGATTGGAAAAACATTGTCTGGTCTGATGAGTCTTGATTTCTGCTGCGACATTCGGATGGTAGGATCAGAATTTGGTGTCAACAACATGAACGCATGGATCCATCCTGCCTTGTATCAACAGTTCAGGCTGGTGGTGGTGGTGCAGTGGTGTGGGAGATATTTTCCTGACACACTTTGGGCCCATTATTACAACTGAGCATCGTGTCAACACCACAGCCTACCTGAGTATTGTTGCTGACCATGTCCATCCCTTTAAGACCACAGTGTACCATCTTCTGACCATGTCCATCTCTTTATGACCACAGTGTACCATCTTCTCACCATGTCCATGTCTTTATGACCACAGTGTACCATCTTCTGACCATGTCATCAGTTTATGACCACAGTGTACCATCTTCTGACCATGTCCATCTCTTTATGACCACAGTGTACCATCTTCTGACCATGTTAATGTCTTTATGACCACAGTGTACCAT